CCTTTCCTCCCATCTTTTCCGGGGCAGGAATATATCCTAATCACATTTATATCCGGCACCATAGATGTAATTGTGCCATACGTGGTATTTACTGCATGTTAATGAAATACACTTGATTTATTACAGAACAAAAATAAATAAAATTAGAAACAGTAAGTTCATGTACTGCCTACTTCCCACACAGATGTGACATGGTATAAAGAGACTAAGCGTTGAGATCAGTAAATGTAGTATTATAGTAAGGCACATGGGCTCTTTAATCAGACAGCCCTGGGTTTTCATGTCAAAAATTCCATCTCTCTCAATTGCTACCTGAATGGTCATTGACACACCACAAATTTTTCTGTACTTCATTTTTCTCTTCAGTAACATAGTGATCATATCACCTAACTCATAGACCTGTGATAATTACTCAGTATGTTAGGGGTAGAGCAGCTCTTACTCTGATTGGCACATACTGAGCCTTACAAGTTTTAATTGCTACACACAAGTGAATACATATACATGTCTATGTATTCGTGTGTATATATGTGTATATAATCACTTTATGCACTTTTTATAAAGTGCCTGTGTTGGGCAGGTATTATTTTAAGCATACGAGAATACACCGGTGAACAAATGAGATGATGTCTTTCCTTTCATGTAGGATAAACTTATACAGCAGGGCATAATTTAACATATAAACAATCAAAATATTTGCAAATGTTGTTCGAAGCTGTGTGGAAGATAAAGCAAATTAATGGGCTGGAACATGGCTGGTGATGATGGCTGGTGATGATGGTAACACGGGAGATGTGAGACGTTGAAAAAGTAGCCAGGCAAGTTCTTTCTGAAGAAAACGTTTTCTGATATTGTCATTATGATAGGAGAAAAAAGATTATTGCATTTTTATGGACATTTTCTTTTTTAATATTTTTTCAGTTTTATTGAGGGATAATAGACAAAAATTTTCTGTGTACTTAAGGTATACAGCATGATGCTCTGATATAGGTATACACTCTGAAATGATTACCACATACCCATCACCTCACATACTTATCTTTTATTTTTTGTGGTGAGGACACTTGAGATCAATGCTCTTAGAGAATTTCAAGTATATAATACGGTATTATTAACTGTAGTCACCAGATCTCCAGAATTGACTCACTCCACTTAACTGAAACTTCATGCCCTTTGACAAGCAGCTCCTTATTTTCCTCAGCCCCCAGCCCCTGGCGACCACCATGCTGCTCTCTGCTTTGATGAGTTTGACTTTTTGGATTCGCTGTATAAGTGAGACTGTACGGTGTTTGTCTTTCTGTGTCTGGCTTATTTCACTTAGCACAGGTCCTCTAGGTTCAACCATGTTGTTGTGAATGGCAGGTTTCCCTTTTTTTAAGGTTGAATGTATATAATTCACATTTTCTTTATCCGTTATCCATCGATGGACACTTAGGTTGCTTGCATATCTTGGCTGTAGTGAATAATGCTGTAATGAATGTGGAAATGCTGACATCTCTTCAAGATAGTGATTTCATTTCCTTTGAAGCATACCCAGAAGTGGGATTGCTGGATCATATTGTGGATCTCCGAGCCCTTTCCCCATACCTTACCCTATGTGTCTCCTTCATCTAGCTGTTCCTGGCAGGTCTAAACATTTTAATCTAGTGAATAAAATGTTTCTCTGAGTCCTCTAGCAAATTAATTGAACTCAAGGAGAGGGTCATTGGAACCTCTGATCTACAGCTGGTTGGTCAGAAGCACAGGTAACAACCTGGAATTGCAGCTGGCATCTGAAGTGGGGGGCAGTCTTGTGGGACTGGGCCCTTAACCTGTGTATTCCGATGCTCTCTCCAGATAGATGGTATTAGAATTGAACTGAATGGTAGGACACCATGCTGGTGTCCAAGAATCGTTTGGTGGGATGGAATCCCCACCCCCACAACACACACAAGTTGTAATTAGTGGTCAGAACCATTTTACAGACACACAACTACACTGTGTCTTGCTGAATCATTTGAAAGTAAGTGCTCGATATTATGATCTTTTGTCCCTAAATACTCAAGATTTATCTCCTAAGGATAACATTCTCCTATATAACCTCAAAACTATTATCATATCCCTCAATTTATTAATATAATAATCTAATAGATAGTTTCTCAAAAAATCTGAGCTCAAGCCAAAAGTACAATGTTGTAGTTTTCTTGAAAAACATAATTGTAGCAAGATCTCTTTGATAAATTGATACTAATTATGCATCAATATTTATTATTCATGAGGGAATTAGCTTAGGTCTTGTGTTAGTTTGACATAGCACAGTTTAAACCATCTATATGTTCCCATTAAGGCAATGTTTCTCCAAATAGCTTGGATGCTAAGTGCAGATGTTGATTGATTCAGAGAGCAGTCAACCTCGTCAAAACCTTAAAACTGTTATCTATCACTTGGCCCAAATTAATAACGAGCAGAGATATTTCAAGACATTTGCAGATACAATCTTTAAACAAAAATATAAAATAAGACATGTCAGATACAAATAGAAAGCAATTGATCTATTACTTATCTATCACAAGCAAGATTTTATTATATTAGAAACACCCAAAAGTCCTCCTCAGCGATCAGAGCCAGAGGCCTGTTTCCAGCTGTTCATTTCTTCAGCTCACAAAGACCCTCCACACTTCAGTTTGCTCAGCTCTGTTTGAGAACAGTGTGTTTTCCTTCCTTCCTGTCACACGCCCCTCTTCTCTGTTGTGGGAAGAAACTTTTCATTTATGTATGGGAAGTTTCTGTCACTGCCATGAAATATGCTGAACTCTACTACTTTTTCTGAATTCCTGGAAGGCCGGAGCAGATTGCCAGGCTATATTTTCAACTGCAGACTTCCTGTTGCCCAGTAGTCATTTATCTGCAGATTAGGAGTAAGACTAAAGTTCTTGCAAGATAATACATTTTCCCATGCCAACCATTCACACATTAGTGAAGCCCAAAAGAAGGCAAGAGGAAAGAGGAGGAGGAGGAAGAGTTGGAGGAAGGACTGGTGCAGGCGTAGAGGGAAGACAGCAAGGAGACCACTTTGGGGCCACTACTCTGTAGAGTTCTAGTCTCATGTCATCCTCGCCACCTCTCTGAGTTCAGGTAAAATTATAATAGTACAGAGAGAAAAACACTGGAGAGGGAATCTTTGCTTGGGTTGATAGATTGACTCAGTTTATTGGCAAATTCCATTGAAGAGAAAGTGGTTGTGTTTGTCCCTTAAGAGGCTGAGCTCCGTCTTTGTCAAAGCCCAGGAGAAGAGCTGTACCCTACTATTTTACTGGGTGCTGAAATGGTGGTGAGGTCACAGGGCATGATGGGAAAATGCCAGCAGGTGCCTCAGGAAAGAGGAAGAGGTGCCACGAATCCAGAGAGAGAGGGGTGGAGGTTTTTCTGTTGCTCTTGCACAACTTGCTGGGTGAGTCTGTTCCCTCCCTCCGACACATCTCTAAAATTGAAGACGAGGGGATTGCATTTAGAGAGCTGTGTCATTCTGGTCCTGAAAATTAAGCTGACCTTTCAAATGGTATGTCTTAACGCGTTTCTTCACTGGAAGATGAATGCACAGTATTATGCGCAGAACCCACATCCCCAGAAGTGACAGTGATTGTTCAGACTTTGTTCCTGGCATTTCCTCCAAGGAAAGGAGGACGCTTATGGAGTGGGGCTGTTCAGCCACTGTGACTCGCTCTGACTCTGGCACCCTTGCCATGTCCATCAAAATCAACTTCCAAAGCATGCCCGTCTAAGGACTGGAAGGGGCAGGAACCCTCTGTTTCACAAAACCATCCCAAGTATGAGTTTGTTACATTTGTGCAGGTCGTGCTGAATCGTCCCCATCTACGCCTCCATCCAGGTTTACCGCTTTCTTAGACGTGCCCAGCCTTTCCGGAGGACAGAGATCTTTTGTTAGAGAAAGGGCGAGGCCAGAGAAAGTGTCTCTGTAGTAAGCAGAAATTAGGGGAGGACGCTAAAGGGCTGTGCTCGGCCTGGCCAGAGCCTGAGGAATTAGGAAAAAGAAAAGAATATACAAATATCAAAAAAAATTTTTTTCTATGTTCCACTAGTACTATTATTAGCTATATACCATTGAATGCTCCTTGAAAGTGGTATAGTCATTATTACCATTATTATTACTGCGGTTAACTCTATAGTATTGAATATTATTATTTATCTATATTGTTCTTACTGTCAATATTACTATTATTAGTTACCCATTATCGAATGCTCCTTAGAAGCAGTATAAGCCTTTTATAAACACTTTCTCTAATCTTTTAAACAAATCTCCAGTGCCGATATCGTTCCCCTATTTAATGGAACAGAAAACTGAGATTTAGAGAAGAACACTTGTCGAATAACACAGAGGTCGTAAGTATCGAGGTGGCAGGTCACCTGGGGAACTCTGTGACTCCCATACTCTCCCAATCATGAATGTGTTCTGTTTGCGACTTTTCTGAAGTTGCTAGGAGTTTAGAAAAAGGGGAAATGCAAGCGCATTTCACAAATGTACAGTCTGTAAGCCTCACATCCTGTGTAGCTGTAAACACCGAACTGAGGAAGAGCTGGCAACTTTCGGAAGATGAGGACAAGTAGGACATTCTGACAGGACTGTATGAGAACCCTGAGTTAAAACCCCCTGGGAGTTTCTGAGAGCTCAGCTGGAACCAACGGGCCAGGTCGAGGGCACAGGTAGGCAATGCTGAGAGATACTTTTGAGCTCCCCAATCCCCTGCCGTGACTCCATCAGAGGAGATATTTGATTTGAGAGAAGTTAAGAGATACTAGAGTCTTCTGGATCTAGGATGGGCAAAGGGAAGGGCTATCTGGTTTTAACTGTTTCTGCTGTTTTCTAACTGCATGTTCTTGGTGAGTTCCTTACCTAAGGTCACGTGATTGATGGCAGCAGGGATTTTCCCCCTTCAGAGGTTCAGAGCCAAAACTGGGCCATCTATGGGCCAAGAACGGTGCAGCAAAAAGAGATCCAAACTGAGCTCTTGGCCACTAATCCCACAGGCAACATGGTCCTTCAGGCCGGCGAGTGGAGGGTCCAGGCTTTGAATGTAGTTTTAATGACTCCAAGTCGTGTCCTCATATTACTGCCTGCTGCTACTTCTCCAAGGAATAAACTCTGACACAGGCTGACATTGCTGGGTAGGGAGAGAATTGTGCAAACTCTTCAAGTGGCTGAGGTTCACTCCTGGCTCTACAACTTCCCAGTTGTATGAACATGTCTGAGTGATAACTGCAAATATTCCTTCAGCATTAATTCTATGCCATGCGTCTATGCAAAGTGTGTATCATTTTCGTTCATAGTAAACTCTTTGATTCTGAGTTGCATGGTCTAACTAACTAACTAACTAACTAACTAACTAACTAACTAACTAACATACAGGGTTGTTGTAAGTATTGAAGGCACTACAGGATAATGTGTAGTAAAATATGATAAAAACATCCAGGATTAATGCTAATAAATATTATTATTACACCAAAAAAAAAAAATGAGTTAGGTAAAGTAAGCAGTGCAGAACCTGAATAGGAACAGTCTGATGAAAAGAACCCTTATCAAGCCATCTCACAACTGGCAGGAAAGTTTGAGGAGACATTTATCAAATATATGGCAATTCAGTTGCAGGTAGCACTAAAGAAAAGAGATTTCTACAGGCTGCAAGTTTCATTTGACCATTTGCCTCTGAACACTGACACCTCTTAAGATTCATGCCGCTCCCTCCCTGTGATGTGTCTGTTATCCATGATGAGCGGACTATGCCAAATATTACAGAAAACTATTCATGAAACCAAGATTTCATGGTTTTCACAGCTCCGTACGACCAGTTCCCTTCCCTAAAGGACAGATCAAATCTGGACTCATGGGCAAATACTGGCTTACAGTTTTGAGAGCCAGACCAGGGAGCTCTGAATTTATTTTCTCTTCCAGCTCCATCATGGTATCACAACCAATGGCCAATGAGAACATCGTAATTCTCACAGCAAATGGCATCGACTTCTCCCAAGCGGATGAACACAAGCCCGCCAACCAGAGTCAGAGTAGCCTGAGGAAACATCTACAGGCAGAGGTCAAAGTTTTTGGGGTAAGCCCAGTTCAGAAGGTGTTGGGGTGGGAAGGGGGAGGGGCAAAGGGAAGAAACTACTTATGTCTTGGGAATGGAGATCCATCGTAAGTGTGAAGACTCTTAAGTTTTGTCAGAGGGATCCGAGTTGATTTAAGACCCATAGAAACCATTTGGAGAGCCATTTGAAACTTCCTCAGACCTTTTCCACACAAGGTGGTATTAAAAACGTTTTTCCCTCTAACCCAAATACGAGCAATTGCGTTTTTATTGTTGTGTTTTTGTAGTAGAATACTTCTCTACATTTTCTTTCTTAAAAGACTACTTTATCGAGGTGTAATTGGCATACAAAAAGCTGTACATCTATATATTTTTCAAAAGTGATGGTGATAATGATATATTTTGTATACTTTTTTTTCTATGTTCACCAATTACGTGCTTAATAATCTGACAGATTTTTTGAAGAAAATTTCTCCCTCACTGCAAATTACAGGAAAAATAAACTTCCTTCCCTCTTTTCTCCTCCTCATTTGAGAACAGAGATGATATTTACCTTTCGTTAGTTTCTCCCCCTCATACATGACTTATTAAAGAAACTCCGTGGAGTGAAGGCAGGAGTGGAGGAAAGGATCTATCTAGGACTGGGAGGGAAGTATAGAGCTTTGCTTCCCAGATTTGTCTCTGAACTTCCATGATCAGGTCTCAGAACTTGGTAGGACTGATGGCCTTGTATCAAATATACGATCCCGAAGGCTAACATGGGGTTCCTGTGACAGAAGTTTTAGCCAACCGCTTGGTGGCTATTCATAAAGCTGTATCTGAAAAGAAAGTCGAGGAGGAAAACTTGACCTTTTAAGATAGTGCTTCAGGATCCTCGGTTACAGGGACGTGGACCGAAGAGGTCACAGAGCTGGCCAGAGGGCCAGGCTCTTATGTTGTGGTGTCCAGTAGGGCCTCAGGGAAATAAGGAGGGGCTTCCACACTGCCAGTGCTCAAGAGAGTATGAGGGCTTTCAGATGTCCCCTGCTCCCATAGGAGATGGAAGGAGAGTTAGTAGTAATGAAACTGGAGAGGTGGGGAAAACAGAGTCTAGCACTTGGCGTGAGCCGGGATAAGGCCCCGAGAAGACAGGGGTGAGAGAAGACAAACGGTGGAAGACATGCTGAGCGCCTGGCAGATGGCCCAAGACAGTGGCTTCCTGTGGCACGACAATGTCTCCTCCCAAATGTCTTTCCACAGCTCTCCCTCCAGTGCTTTTGTAGTGTCTGTGTCTCTGCTGGGATCCCGCGGAAGGTGATAAGGCATCGGCATGAGGGGAACGATGAAGAAGCCCTGTCTTTATCAAGGCCGATTTCAATCCTCGATCTCCCTTCTTCTTCCAACAGACCATCCAGATCGTCTGTGGGGTGATGGTGTTGAGTCTGGGAATCCTTTTGCAATCTGCTCCCTCCTCTCCACAATTCAGCCACGTGTTTTCCACCCTGTTGAAAGCTGCTTACCCATTCATTGGAGCCTTGTGTGTGAGTTGAAATCTGAAGGAGGGCAAGATGGGGTGGAGGTGGGGTGAAGGCGGGGCGAAGATGCCAATAGTTTGGGCTCTTCCCCTGTCGCCTTGCTACATTTCTGTCTGCCAGAAGCAAGGGGTCAGTGGTAGGACTTCTGCGTTTGTAGCCTAAGGAAGAACTGAGTGAGGTGGCAGAAGCCACCTGATTTTAAATCCATATTTTAGCTGGCTCAAATGATCATTTCTTTTGAAGATTATCTTACTTTTCACCTCATCCTCTAGAGCTATAATGAGGCTGGTGGCTTCTCTCCGGGTTTAAGAAAAACCCATGAAGGAAGATAAAGTTGAGAAGGAGCTTGCTATACAGAAAAATGAGCCTCGGCGAAAGACACCAGACACGTACAGGGCAAACCACACGTTTGTGAGAATCACAGAGGAAGAAGCACTTTTATCTTTGAGGGCTTCGAAAATGCTCTTTGCTGCACTCGGTGGTACCCAGGGCACACTGAGCAGATGTCTATGCTTTAGTGATGGCCTGGAAATTCCCCTGAAACAGCTTCGCATCCACGTACCAAGGGGATGTTGGTGGTTCTTTTCTCAGAGAAGAGCCTTCTTCTAGATTGATGTGCGGAGACTTTCTCACAACTAAGCTTCTCTTTCATCATGTTTTTCCTCTCGGCTTCCCACGACTCAGTAGCTATTAGTTTCTTTGACGCTTCCAGAAGTCTACCTTTTCCTTATCTGGTTCATTTTTCTTTTGTTATTAACTAAAGTTGACACTGTTTTGGATGTCACAAGTTTTCCCCGAAAGGTCTTTTTTCTGTGCCAAGATCCCCGTAAGAGAAACTACATTACATTTAGTCATTATGTCCCCTAAGGTTCTTTCAGACTTTCTCAGACTCTCCTCGTCCTCGATAATGTTGATGGATTTGAGCGGCACTGACCAGGATTTTTACAGAATGTTCCTAAACTTTGGTTCATCTGAATTTTTCTCACGCTTAGACTAGGCTGATGGATTTTTAGGTGGAAGATGACAGAGATGAAGTTTCATATTAGGGGTAGATGCTATCAATATGATTTGTCACTGGTGCAGTTAACCTTGATCGTGCAGGCTAAGGTTGTGTCTGCCAGATTTCTTCTCTGTAAAGTTACTTTCCTCTCTCCTCTCTCCATTCTCTATTTTTTTGTAAGCCCAGCCCACATTTGAAGAGGCCTCTTGTCTAATTTTTAAGGCCCAGGATTTATTCATGCAGACCTAAGTTACTTAATGCCGAGACCACTGGAACTATCATTTTTCTCCCTGTTTTGTCCCATTTCTCCATTGTCAAGGGATTTTCTGTGTCTTAGCTGTCCTAAATCTATTATTAGTAATACTCTAGAGAGTAGAAATAAGATCTTTGATTACACAGCCTTTAAGGTTTGCTGCCATCCTTATTCTCTCTCTGTTCTCACCCCTCTTCCTGCCCTTGCCTGGGGAGCCGCCAGCTGAAATGGACGTCTGTACTCTCGTGCCTGTTAGCGCCCCCCATTGTTTTCTTGCTCTTCTCTAGATAACGTCTGACTCTGAAATTTTTTTTCTCGTTTAAAGAAAAACATTCTATCCTGGCTTTTAAGGCCCTCATTTTTTTAAATTAAGTTTATTGGGGTAACATTGGTTAACACGATTATATCATTTTCAGGTGTACATTATAATACGACATGTATATATTCTATTGTGTGTTTACCACCCAAAGTCCAGTTTCCTTCAGCTACCATATATTTGATCCCCTTTACCCATTTCACCTTCTCCCTACCCCCCCCTCCATATTTGACTCCTTTTACCCCGTCTACCTCCCCGCTCCTCCCTCACCCCCTACCCTCTGGTAACTACTAGTCCATTGTCCATGTCCATGAGTCTCTGTTTGTTTGTCCTGTTCATTTGTTGCTTTTAGGTTTATATCCCACATATAACTGATATCATGTGATTTTCAACTTTTTCTGTCTGGCTTATTTTGCTTAGCATGATTATCTCGAGGTCCATCCATGTTGTCGCAAATGGCAGCATTTCATCTCTTCTTATGACTGAGTAATATTCCATTGTATATATGTACCACAGCTTCTTTAGCCAATCATCTATTGTAGGACACTTCAGTTGCTTCCATGTCCTGGTCACTGTGAATAATGCTGCTATGAACATCAGTGTGCAAATATCTTTTTGGATATGAGTTTTCAAGTCTTTGGGGTAAATACCCAGTAGAGGGATTGCTGGATCATATGGTAGATCAATTCTTAGTTTTTTTGAGGAACCTCCATACTGTTTTCCATAGAAGCTGTACCAATTTGCAGTCCCACCAGCAGTGTTTGAGGGTTCCTTTTTCTCCACATCCTCTCCAACATTTGTTATTATTGTCCTGTTGATTATGGCCATTCTAACAGGTGTGAGGTGGTATCTCATTGTGATTTTGATTTGCATTTCCCTAATAGCTAGCAATGTTGAGCATCTTTTCATATATTTGTTGGCCATTTGTATGTCCTCTGGGGAGACGTGTCTGTTCAGGTCCTCTGCCCATTTTTGATTGGATCGTTTGTGTTTTTGTTGTTATTGAGTTGTATATTTTGGATATTTTGGATATTAAAGGCCCTCATTTGTTTATTGGAATAGATTCCTACACATGTCTGCCTTTTCTCATACTTTTCTGAATATTCTACAGGCAAAAAGGGACATATCTATATTTAATTGTGTCTTTGTATCATTGGTCCCCCAGGGCTTCTCCCATGGGAGTTTTCCATAAATGCTGTGAAAATAACATTGTTGCTACATCTGTACATAGACAGTGACTTGACCATTTTTTCTCTTTTCTGAGTAGTTTGTCATTTCTGGATCTCTATCAATCATCACAGAGAAAAAGTCCACTAAGCCTTTGGTGAGTATGAGAACAATAGCATCAAAATGAGCTCTCCAAGGTCCATCTCTGCACTTTGCAGAGTCAGGGCAGATGTTGGGCAGAGTTAGGAACTGTTCCTGGGTCATCTACAGTCCTGTCCAGTGCACATTCCTGCAACTGCTGTACCCTAGATCACAGTCCACATCCAGGTATTGCGTCATACCCTGGACCAGTGCCCAGGCGATTATTCTGGAAAAAGTCAGCCTCCTATAATGCCCTTTTGATAGTGATTGGCCTTCAAATTTAAATCTTCAATGACAAAGAAGTTGACTGTGTTTTAAATAAGTCTATTTGTTGTAGACTCATTACTTTCGTGCATCTGTCAAAACCCTCGAGAAAACCCAGTTAAAATGTTGCTTGTGGGAGGAATTTTTTCTCATTCTTTTATCTCTCTGATCTGAAAGGTAACACTTTTATTGGATTTTAAAATGAACCCTTAACTCCTGAAAGTTGTCATTAGTCATTTGCATATGCTAAGAACACAACTTTACCTGCTTTTAACTCTTTCCAAAGAAAACCAGAATTGGAAGTGACAGGAAGAGGGAAGCTGGATTATAGGGAGATGATTTCTAATCAGTGAAGGTACACGGAGTCCCTCAGGCCAGTCTGACGGTGGGAGGGCCATCGTGAGAACGCCAACAAGCCAGCAAACACAGTGGCACAGAAACTCGATTTGGAACCTTCAACTGCAAAAATCTCCCAAAGGCAGCAAGAAATTAGAGAATGTGCTCAGGACAGTGCCAGTATCTCTCTTTCTTTCATCAAAATGTAGCAATGATTATTTGGAACCCGCACCGAGACCCCAAACTACTCTACAAATGCCATCCAGTAGAATTTTCTGTGATGATGGAAATGCAGTCGCTACTCTGTCCAATGTAGTGGTCAGGTGTGGCTACTAATCTCTTGAAATGTAGCTGGTGCAATTGAGGAAGTGGATTTTAAATTTTATTTAAGTTTACTTTAAATCTAGGTGGCCCATGTGGCTAGTGACCATTATATCAAGTAGTACAATACAAGAATAATGTTTCTCGGTTTTCTAAGAGGAGCCTATAGGGTTCTTACTCTAGAGAAAACCACAGTGAATTTGGCAGCAAGCTCAAGGATACAGGGTGAGGTTTAAGGGCAGGCTCAGGCTCACCAGCACCATCTATCTGATAGTAAATTCTACTGTGGTCACACATGATATCAGCCCTTTTTTGAGGTTGAGGAAGAGTGTTTTCCCAGAACGAACCTATTGATTTTAAGAAATATATATTCCAGGCATTGTGACTGTTGCTGGCTATCAGGAGGCCCAGAAGCATGTACTTTAGTCATTATTTGAGAAAATTGGGATTTGGAGGAGTAAAATGCCCTGTCTACGCCTCTACTGTGCCTTCAAGTTTCAGCCACTGAGTCCCTAAAAGAAGAGGGGCCTAGATGGGATTAAGTAATATTCTAATTTGTGACTACTGGGTGTGCTCTGAACCATACCTAATTATAACTACAGCTTTCGGAATGATCTTAACTCGATTCCCCCTTCTGAGAGTTGAGGTAGAAGGGAAGCCATTTAGGAGATTAGTTTATTTCTTCCCCTCACTTCGTAAATGTAGAAATGAGACCCAGAGTAGGAAAGGGAGAAGCTGAGTACTCAAGAAACTTGAGCGCATCAAAGGCAAAGATCACTGTGACCTCAGTTTCCTGACCTTTCTTTCACCTCCTGTTACAGCTCACATATTACACCATCCCTGGGCCTGAGTCTAGAACTCTGCCTACCGCCATCTATATATGGCCCTGGACATGGACAACCAGAGCCTGTCCAGACTCCAGGGCCCACCTGAGACTGAGAACTGTGTCCCCACACTCATTTTTGGGTGTGTGTGCGTTTAAGAGAGGCCGTGTGCAAGGAAGAGTGGTTTGCTTCATCTTCCTCTTCTGTGTGGCTGATGCTGCCGCAAGGGGTTTCTGAGTTAGCTGGGGGAGAGAGAAACTATATCTGCCTTTCGGTCATACTCTCTTTGGGATTCTGCAGGCATAGCCTTATGGAGCTCTGCTGTCAGTTCAGGGTAGAGAATTTAGCAGAGCAATATCCTCTGCCACCCTACTGAAGTCCTGCGTAGGGGGGAATAGTTCGTTGATTTATTTGCTTAGCTAACATTTACTTTCTAGATTCAGAGATGTTGCTAGGTACTAGAGAGACATCCAGGTTTAGGTCTATCAATTTTAGACCTCGAGGGACACAGGAAAGAAAAGATATTTTGCAACGTACTAGCAAAGGGGTAAGACATGTGTTGCTCATTTGGAGTGATCTTTACTCAGCATTTCTCTTCCAGGTTCAGAGCAGCCTGGCTGCAAACTTTCTGAGCTCTCTGTCTGCTCTGGTGGGTTTCATCCTCCTCTCTATCAACCTGGCTCTTTTGGGTCCTGCCCTATGGAAGTGTGACTTGAACAAAGAGGAGCTACTATTGGAACAGCAGAATTCTTACCATAATTTTTACCAAAATGAGATGAACTGCCTCATTGCCAACGATGTTCTGGCTGTAAGTATTTTTAGATGGGATGCTCCAATCTTGTGAGGCTTCTTAAAGACTTGACTTCTTGTTATTCATCTCCGTCATGTAGTCTCTCCGATTCTTTCTGGTGTGGGCATCTAGGGGAAGGCCAAGGCTGTATAAAGGAGAGACTACATGACGGAGATGAATGAGGTAGGCCATGTGATTGCCCACTAATAGGCTAGAACGGAAGAGTCAACGTCAAATAAGATTGACAGTGAAAAACTAAAACTTACTGTCGATAGTTTCCTACTAATCAAACTGATTCTATTGTTAGAGGCATAAAACATGAGTTTGTCAAACTGAACATCTTGGTTTATGGAGTAGTGAAAGGCAAAATAGCAGAAAGACCCAAGTGATCAGGAAATGCCAACAAGAAAACATAGTATATATGTATGATGGGGTATTAACTGGGTCTGAGCAGATATCAGGCCCAGCACTGAGAAATGGAGAGCAGGAAATATGGGGTTTGGAAGTGAGGGCTTCTCCTCCTTCCAGCGACCGGTGTTGAGTGGTATTGATCAGGCCAGAAATCAACATCATTATCGTTTTTGCTAAAACTTACAGAAGTGGGATTTATAAAATTAGAAATATAAGGAGATGAAGAATGTTAACTAGTAACGATTGTCCTTATTGGAGGACAAAGGGTGGCTAACGAGAATAATATGTTGGAGCATTAGGGGCATGTTTGTGGTCAGCAACACATTCAGGAAAAAAAAAGAAACAGGTGGCATAAAGATAAAGAGGATGCAGAATTTTTAGTGTCCTGCAATCACAAAAGTGAGTTAAGTCAAGGACACGGTTGGAAGATGGCCAGATAAAAGCAGAGGCAATTAAGCTGGCCTCAGGTGCTTTTCTCTAGACTAATGATGTTTTATTAAGAAAAAAATACATGCAAACGAGGCTGATAATAATTGGTAGAAACCAACATGTAGCAGAGCCAACTCTACCTTGGAAAAAATTCTGCAGAGACGCTTGGGAACGATTTGTGTGGTCGCTAAAGTATGAATTCATAACAGGATAATTTTTTTCATGGTAAATAAAGGGATTATATTGAGCTTGCTTGTTGGGAAAATTTCTAGGTAATGTAGACAAGTTATATTTCCTCTTTAATTGTGCGTAAATAAACTAGAGGTTTGTGTGATCACGTTTCCTCTCTTGTTCTATCAGCTAGTCAGCTCTGCTTAAATGATGCCTCAGGACAGAACTGGTAGCACTTACCTTCTTGGTGTAGCTCCCTCGTTCAGTCGGTTTGGGTGGCTAACAGCGATGGCAGTTTACAATCTTGATTGTTCTAACACTTACTGCCATCAAGAAAGGCTAAGGAAACCCACCCCAAGGGGTTCAGATGGATAGAAGGGGCAGTCATGTTGAATTTTATAAAGGGCTTGCACAGTCAAAACCTCACTGATTCTCATATATCTCCGCAAAGGAAATGTGATTATGCACATTTGATAAATGAGGAAATGGAAGCTAGAGAAGTAGAGACTCTTGCTCAGGTTCACGCCGCAGCTAAGAAGCAGAGGTGTGGCTCGAATGGGAACCTGGCCCGTCGGCCCTGGGTGTTAGTCCACCCCCATGCTCCTTCACTGAGTGAACAGTGTAATCAAATTTAGCTGCGCCTCAGAGAGGTAAGAAACAAGTGTATAAAGCGGGTTAGTTGACTTAGTTACTGCTCATCCGCCTCTTCTTCCCAAGGAAATAAAGGAGCAAAGGGATTAAATTGAGCCGATTGTTAGGTATGAAAGGAGCGGTGTTCTCTTCCTGATGGTGTCCTCACTGCATCTCTGATGGTCGAGGTGGTCGGGTCTTCGTCGCGACGGGCACCTCCCGACAAGGCACGAATGCTTCGGTCGACTCAAGCACCACCAACCTCGTGTTTCCTGCATTTTAGGGAATACTGTCTGTGATGCTGATTTTTACAGTGCTGGAGTTCTGCCTAGCTGTGCTCATGGCTGTGATTTGGTGGAAGTGGTTTCACTCTGACTTTCCTGGGGTGAGTGTGATGCCCCGCCTCCCTGAGTCTTGCCTGGTGTACTTCCGTTTCTGGGTTGTGTTGAGCTATGTCAGCAAGAGTGGCAGAGGGGTCCATTAGTTGCTGGTCATGAGATACAAATGGGAGATGGTTTGATGGTGATGGATAACAGCTGACGAAAGCAGATTGCGATTGAGTCTCTGACCAGCTGAGGAGTCACTGCATGGCAAGATAGTTGAATCTGAGAAATCATCTATTTTGTAAAGGCAGAAACCTGGGAAGTTCAATGATTTGCCAAGCGTTATGCTACGAGTTTGTGCCTGTGTTTATCAATAGAACATGCCATTTGCCTCTCTTCCAGGCAGAAACACCTTCTGCCACAGCCACTAGTCTCGTTAACAGTCTTAACTTGGTAAAGGGCATTTGCACATGTGGCTGGATGCAGTAAACGTCCTATGATCTGATTTTCTCTTTCTGTGATCTTAAATCTTTTTTCCTCTTAAAATGAAAAACTGTATTGACTCAAATTTCATGGGAAGTTTAACACCACCCTAACACCACCTCGGATTCATGGCTTTATTAACTGAATTTAAAAGCTTTGATCTATCAAAAATTTTCTTTTAGAAAGTAGAATACTAGGCCGATGAATATCAGTTATTTAAAGAACTGAATGGTGCGGTTTACTAATCTTGCAATACCTAAGAGTTCTATATTTAAAGTTTGGAGGAGATGGCATCAAGATAAAGATTTACGTTAAGCTGAATCCAAGTACATCTGAAAAACTAACGTATTTTGTTTCTTTTAGAGTGTGCTTTTCCAGCCTCTGAGTGACAAGGATAAATCCGGCATGATTGCAGAGGCAAATGTTGACTGCGGATATGAAAAACTATTTAATTCTTAGGGGGAAAAAAAAGGAAAATATTCATCAGAAATTTGGTCTTTATAATAATGTATGGAAACCAACCAAAGAAACCTAACCAACAAAGCAGTTTGAGTTCTTTGAAATGTAGACTTTTCTGTAATGAACATTTAAAAGCTATATATTTGTTTTCTTTTCATTGAATATATGTTTTCAGTGGATTGATCTCTAGATTTGCCAGATACTGACTTCAACAAAAGCACGGAACTGTAAATTACCATTGATTGGACTGGCCAAATAGACATTTCCCAGAAAACTAGGCAAAATGGTGATTCAATGGATAATGACAAAGTAAAGGAGACAACTTTTCCTCGTACCCCCTCACTGCCAACGAGAGTCCTGATTTACTGTGGTGTTCAAACTCTTATATAGACACTAGTGTTCCATCACACATATTTTACTCATTAGTGCATGCAGACAGCCCCCTGCCATTAAGTCTCAGGACCTACTTAAGTACATGGCTTCAAAATGAAATTTTTATTTGACTACAATGATGTGTGTGCGTGTGTGTGTATCTAACTCTACCTAGCAATTAACTGGATTCTGACACTATCTACTTGGAGGTAGCATCCAATCTCACAGGAAAAGGGCTCAATTTTACAAGACTCCCTCCATCCCTCCCAACCCTGCAACGCCCCCATCCTTCCACCCACCCCCCCAACACCCCAGACGCCAATCGCAAGTCTAGGTCATCACCTGTGTTTCTGACCCACTGGAAGCTATAGATTGGAAGTTCCTAAAACCCCCTTCCTTGGGTTCAATTAGTTTACTAGAACAGCTCACAGAACACAGGAAAACATTTACTTATTGATTACCTGTTTCTTATAAAACGATATAACTCAGGAACAGCCAGATGGAGGAGATGCATATGGCAAGGCATGGGAAGAGCTGGGGATATTCCATGCCCTCCCTGAGCGCTCCATTCTCCCCAAATCTCCACAAGTTCACCAACCCAGAAGCTCTTCCAATCCCGTTCTTTTGGGTTCTTATGGAGGCATCATCGTATAGGCATGATTGATTAGATCACAGGTCATCTGTGACTTAACTCAACTTCCGGCCCCTTTCCCCTCCCCAGATGTCTGAGTAGAAATGCAAGTTCCAACTCTCTAGTCATGTGATTGGTTCCCCTGACAACCAGCCCCTATCTATAAGTTACCTAAAGGCTTTCCCTAAGTTAACTCGTTAACATAACAAAAGACAGCTTACTGCTCCACCACTTGGGAAATTTACTGGTTTTAGGAGCTCTGTACCAGGAAATGGGAGGAAAATCAAATATATGTATTATTACAAATCATGATATCGCAATTACTTACTTTTTGAAATTCACTTTCCTACTTTCCTTTTAAACACAGAGAAGTCAACAATGACAGACGTAAACCTAAATTTCAACTTCCTTCCTCCTCATCAAATATTCAAACAAAACAAACAAAAGCTAACCGGAATACTTACCGTTGTCAAGAAGCAAGTTCCTATTTTCTTCTGATTTCAAAATAAGAAAGAACAATTGTTCAAGTGGAAATGTTAAGCCTCAACACACACACACACACACACACACACACACACACACACACACAGAGGTGTGGAAAGATATCCTCAATTTATCCTCATCTACACTGTTTGTCTGCCTTCTATAGGCTTTGACCATTCATGTGACAAAGGAGGGTCAGCAGGTCGCTTGCCCTTTTCTGAGCATGATGCACCCTCCCTCAGTCCATTCTAGTAAACTTTAAATTCTCAGAAGCCATTTTATCAGTTTTAGTTACTCAGGTTCATTTGTTTGGAGCGCCACCTGCCAGCCAGAAAGGGAAACGTTCATTTTTGTTTTTGTTAAGCAGAAACACTAAAAATAAATTTTTTTAGCTCACCTGCCAGTTTTTTGCAATTCCTTCCTCATCCATTTTGATAGTACCTATTATTTCAATGTTATACTGGAGAGTTTTATTATCAGTAACTACTTTCGAAGCCTGTGCTACTTCAAATCAAAGTGGCTCAGTACCACCTCATTATCCGCTTTATCAGAACCATCCTTTTTATTTATAAGTAAATTCTAATCGTGGTAGTTAGACAGGGTTTAATTTCTAAAGAAGACTCACAGGATCCAATAGGACAACGCTTAAAACATTGGAGTCTATTGCAGAAACAAGACACAATATAGCAACAACATTAAACCATTATGCATAACTATATTCATTCCAGCTAAAGATTACCTCACAGCAAGGGGTACAGAAGGCCAAGCTCGAGATCCAGTTGTCCTCTCTTTCTGTGATGCATGTTCTGTTTTGATAGGGAACCCCAACAGAACACCTCAGAAATAGGGAGCCCCAAATTATAATAGTGGTTGAGGATTCTTATACCTGGCTTGTCATATTTCTTGTTACACAACCAGCCCAATGGCAGACCATTCTGTGGTCTCACTGAAGCAGCATGAAAATCACCATTCACACTGTTATCAATAAATAATCATGACAAGCTGGTGCAAACCATCCAGAAACTCCTACGCCCATGGTTACAAAGCAACATTGTGAACCAGCATGTTCACGCTTTGACTAAGGGTCAGTGCCATGCAGGAACTACAGCAAAACATTTGGGCCAATTTTCAGCTTGCTGAAATGAACCCTAACAATACAGGTGTATGTTCTGACAGACTTGGTTTTGTTATGGCGCGAACGATTCTGAGACCCACGGAGCCAATTGAGATTAATTATGAGCCTTTATTAGCCGGCCAGCGACTGACTCTCTACCACACAGGGCTAGAGGAGATCAGCCCCGAGCTTTCAGAGGAGGCAGCTGATAAAGCTCAAGACCATATCCTGGTGGTCTCCTGAACAAGCCAGCAGATTACAGAAGTGGAAGTTGGCTGTTAGCATATCTTTGCCCGGAACAACACCCTTAATTAACAAGTAAATGGATTACAGAAGCAGACATTGGCCATCTTCATATCTTATACAATACACTTCCTAAACCACACACAAGCAAGTAGGACAACTTCTGCTATCTAAAGATATTTCTTCCCTGTAGCTGACTTAGCTAGTTGGCTCACTTGAAAATTTCCCACCCTTAACAGTTTGATTAATTACTACCTGCGTGATCTCAGATCCATTCTCAACTTCCATTTGTTTCAAATTATGAAATACAGATAACAAGACGATCATTGTGCCATGTGAAGATTGGAAGAAGAAATGCTGAGCACCATTCATTATACCTAGTTCATTAAACTTTGGTTATATAAATGTTGCTCTCTAGTCGGGAAAGGAAACATTTTTCACTAAACAAATTGATAAACAAGTTGTGATACACCTATATGATGGAATACTACCCTGTACACAAAAATATACGGATGAGCATCACAATAAGTTTGCTGAATGAAAGAAGCCAAATAAAAAAGAATACATACTTATGAGATTACATATCACATTATGACTGAGAACAGAAGGCAAAAAAGATAATGTGGTTTTGCAGAGAGGTTGTTATGACTGAGAACAGAAGAAAGGCAAAAAAGATAATGTGGTTTTGCAGAGAGGTTCCTCTTAAATAATCTACGATGTCACCTTTTCCTACACAGGAAGTGGAATTATCTGCAACACCATCACTGGGAATGCACAGAACCAACATTTACAAATAACGAAGAGTAAAGATTTTATATTCAGTGAGTGAGTCTACTCTTCAAGATGCAAAATTTGGGCAAGACGTTATATACAGCACTATAGATCCACAAATATAGTTGAACATTCTCACAAGAACATGGAAGAAAGACTCTTCTATACCTACAGTTTGTAGTTTTTACTTCCACACATACCTAACTCCTCAGTGTTAGTTATGGAGAGTCATCTCTGGCGACAGATATCTGCTTTCACTCCAGCGTCCTGTTCTATCTTAAACTTTCCTCTTCCTTGTCAAGAAATAGAAAGGGAAGAGAATGAGTTGTTTATAGGTCAAACTAAGCATTTAATAAAGTTATCTTCAGTATGTATGTTCAATTTTTTAAATGGAAACCAGATGGGCCCTTCTCATTTCATATTCTACTTTGTGTCAAAGGGTCTGGAAGACTGGGGTCAATACTTCCCAGATATCTTTGGTGCCAGGGTTCTGGAGGCCATTTATATTCTGCCACTGATATGTACTAGAATAAGATTTGTTAGGAGAAAGAGAGGTATAAATTATAAATTAGAATTCTCTCTTTGTCTTTGATTTTTGAAATTTCCATTTTAATGTACCTTGGAGAAGGTTGTTTTGCATTGAGATAATGGAGTGGCCCCTTATCTTTGTGAACTTGGATGCAAAGGTCTCTTCTCAGGTTTGGGAAGTTCTCAGTTATTACTTCTTTAAATGGAGTCTTCGCCCCCTCTTTTCTCTCTTCTTCTTCTGAGACTCCAATTATTCTAACATCCGCATGTTTCATGATGTTCCATAAAGCATGTAGGCTTTCTTTGCTCTTTTTTACTATGTTTTCCTTTCCTCTAGGTTATTTCAAAGTTTCTCTCCTTGAGATCACTGATTCTATCTTCTCTTTGATCTGTTTTGCTCTAATAGATGCCCTCTATTGCAGTTTTCATTTTATTCATTAAATTCTTCAGCTCCAGAATTTCTGTTCAGGTCTTTTTTATGATTTCTATCTCTGTTAAATATCTAATTTCATTCATCAATCCCCTTCCCCAATTTCATTGCTTTATCTTTCTGAGTTTTGTTGTAGCTCATTGAGTTTCCTTAAAACAGCAATTTTGAATTCATAATCAGCTAAATCGCAAAATTCTGTGTCTTTGTATTCAGTTACTGGAGATTTAGTGTTATCTTTTGGTAATAGCATGTTTCCTTGATTCTTTATATTCCTTGGAGTTCGTGTTGCTCTTTTCCCATTTGAATCAGCAGAAACTTCCTAGAATCTTTCTCTACTTGTCATCTTCTAGTGGGATATATTTTCTGTTGATCCTGCCTATGTCTAGCATTTTCTCCAGCCTTGTATGGATAAACCTGTTCTATATGTCTTATTCTTTCTTGTGGCAAAATTCTTATGCTTTACGTCCTCTCTAGTTCTTATAACTCACCAGGCTGGCTGCTGGAAACCTCTTTTGTTTTTTCAGAAGGTGGCGCTATTTCAGCCCCATGTTGTGCCACTTTAAGACAAGGGCGTCACTGGCAAAGTTTCTCTTACCTCTCCAATGTGTCCTAAACTTATTTTTTGTGGTTTTATTTTTTTTTTGGTTTTGTTTTTGTTTGTTTGCTTGCTTGTTGTTTCTCCAACTGAGTGCTAGAATCTCTCTTTGGGAAGGCTGGACTTCTACAGGGTCTCTCTCATCCATGGGTGTCTGCTCAAGTCAGCACTCTTTTGATTTTTCCTTACTGAGTCCCTACATATATAGTGCTGAATCCCACAGCCCACACAGAGGTACTTTTGTTCATGGATGGATGCAAAATTAATTGTTTAAAATGGCAGAGAAAAAGGAGGAATGTCTTATGCTGCCATGACGCTGACATCACTCCAAAACTCCATGTTTCTATATCAAGAACAAATAAACAAGCACTTGGAAGGTAGAGCTTATTTATTATACACCTCCCATGATAAAGAGAGATCGTAGAGCCAAGTGGAAACGACATGCATGCTAAAGTCAAGCCAGCCTGGGTTTATATCCCAGCTCTGTAGCCTACTGGCTAAATGACCTTGGGCAAATTGTTTTTATTCTTTCTGTGTAAAGAAGCTTGCAGCTTTAAAAAGGAGATATTGCTTACTTCAGGAGTTTGTTTTATGGATTAAAATCAAGGAAGACAAGTTAGCCTTCCAGCAGGAGGCTAGAGACATAATGGAAATTCAACTAATTTTAGCTTTATTTTCTTTCCCATTCTCCCCTGAGATTTAAAATTTCAGTTCAACTTTTTGATTTAATTGTTGATTTCCCATTTACCTTCCCAAGCTAGAGGTACTCTTCCCCAAGGGTCTAACAGCATCTTCTATTTGCCCAAATGAATCTTTCTCTCTATTTGAATATGAACTCCTGAGGGCAGGATTTATAGCTTACTCATATCTTCCGTTCTGTGTCCTAGCAAAATGTCTGGAATCCAACAGGGGATCAGCCCTTATTCTGGTCTATTAAATAAAGTAACAATTTATTTTAAAATGTTAAATAAAGGAACAATTTATTTTAAAATGGCAAAAGGTGTGGTTGGAGGCATGGTTTCGATCCTAGGACACTTGTCTCTTAAAAAATAAAAATCACTGAAAACTACTATACCATGTAAAAAACTGTCCCTAACTTCCTCAAATAGAGTAACTGCCAGCCCTCCTCTGCACAGCTTAAATCTATCCCCATGAATGAGACCTTGCAGAAGCAAAGACCAAAATCTAACCAAAAATATGGTGTCTGGGGCCCGAAAGAATAAGATCAGGAAATGAGCTGTTCTGTTCTTTTTGGCACAGTTTAGTGTCGGAGCCATGAATTGTCCTGATCTCTCTGTTCCTTGTGTTTGTTATGAAGTGAGGCTCTTGCACTGTGTTTTTCTAGCAGTTTCTTAAAATAGTTCTCGTTGCTGACAAGAAATGTTTTTAGAGGTTTCCCAAAGCTCATCTGATAGCATTTTTCTTATTGCCTCTCTGCATCTATTTCTCTGCCTTTTTAAGACTAAGACAATATCAGCTTATAATATATATTTGTTGCATTTTCACTTACTTGGAAATAGTCTATGTGAAAGCTACTAAGAATGGTCTCTTCCAGGATCTCATATCCACTTTCTCAAAAATAACAAGGTAAAGGTGAATTTCGTCAGAAGCTCCTGAAAATTTGGAACAGTGTCTCTTTTCCTAATTTCAAGTTCAAGATTAAGCATCAATATTTATGAATGCAAAAATATGTTCCGTACATCTTTCTAGACACTTGGCTACATAATCTTTGAAAATATACCTGGATCTGAAGTAGTTATATTAAATACATCCATTTAAAAGATAAGAAAAATAAACTAAGATAAATTTAAAAGGTTACCCGAGAACATAGAGCTGATATCTCATGTAGCTGCTATAATTTGCTTCTGGGTATATTATATTCCAAAGTCCATATTCTAAATGATCCCTGCTCCTCGGTGTTGTTCAATGAAACCCAGTGTAGAGAGTCCAAGATAGAAGCTGTTTGGGAGGCATAAATGAGCCCACTTGACTGTCTGTGGAGTGAGCTGAGGTTTCCCTGTGAAGGGAAATACTCAGGAAACAGGTGGAGACTCCCAATAGACTCTTGCACTCTTGCACATATAAATTTACCTTGACACTCTAAATCAAGCTGAAATGATGAATACAGTATCCTGTTTTATCACTGTTTTGCGGGGGTGGAGGGGGTAGATCCATATCTCATAGAATGGAAGTTATGTGAGAAATTTTATTTCTAAGACAGTTTTCAGAAAGAGACCTTTGACTGGCTTTTGTCAGGGGAGTTTATATCCAATGTTATCATCCCAGATGTCTTGCTAGGTGACATATCAAATAGCTCTGATCACTGTTGCTATCCCAGTCAAAACTTAATAATTGTGATTTTCACAAGCACATGAAAAGGAAACAGAAAGTTCAGGTGGGAATCTTTTGTTCCAAACTTCTCATTTTCACATGGAAAACTTTAGGTCCACAAAGGAAAGAGACTGTGCCAGGGTCGCATAGTGAATAAATTAGGGTCAGGACCAACTTGTAAAATGTGACTCGTGGTCCATTGTCCTTTCAATGTTTTATTGACAATAGATGGCTGATAATTGTTCCTACAATGGTTTTCTGTGTATGGAGTTACTTATAGATGTCCCATTTGATAAAGCATTGATGAAAAAAATGACTCCAGAAGCGGTTCTTGGCCTTTGGTATCATTGAATTGATGCTTTGATTCTATTCTTGATCCGTCCTTCACCTCATATACACACACAGAGAGACAAGAAAGCAGGTTAAATGATTCCAATTTATTTTGCAATACAAGTAATTGAGGATGGGTCAAGGAGATCACAAGTACACTAATAATAAACAATAATACACTGCATTGTGGAGTAAAGTCATGAAGCAAGAAATCAAGGCTGAATGAATAGGTGAGCAGTAGACGGTCTTCATGGAGAAGGTGACCTTTAAGATGAAATTTTTATAAAGTAATTTAGAGCAATGATTCTGCGAAGAGCATGCAGTCATGTGCTCAGTGTATGCCTGAAGTAGGCATATGATCAAGGGCAGGCAAGGGCAGAACAACTATCAGTATGATCTTGAGTCAGAAATTGTATTGTGTACACAGAAAATGTACAGTCAACAACATGGTTACGATATGAATTGAGAGAAACTTACTTTTTAAATTTTGCTTCAGTTGCAGTATACCCACCCACCTTTTTTGAAAAAAGCTGGATTAAGAGGGTTCTTTAGTATGGCTGTGAATTCTGCTTATGTAAACTCTTATGTTTATTT